ATATATTTATAACTAGTCTAATCTAATAGTTCTAACTCATCTATACAATATATGAATTATTCAATGTGCTATATTAGCACCTAAAATAATTTTTAGTTTAACAATGAAAGTAAAATATGCAAGATATAATAGTATCCATGGAAGATAAAAGAATATTTGTAGCAATTACTACCTTTTTCATGTACAGACTTTTCAATGAGTTGTTTACTGGTAATTAAAATTTGCTTCTTATTATATTAATTTGATTCATTATTGGCTTAAAGTATAATGCAGAAGGATATAGAGAGCTGCACTAAAGAAACTATATATGATATTAGAATATATAATCATTTTAACTTATTATAAGAGACTTAGTATAATTCATTAAAGTAACAATTCTAATTAGTAGGGAAAAAATCATTATTATTGTGCTTTATAGACCAATAAAAAAAAAGTAATTACATATTATGTATTTATATATGAGGTTATTTTTTTTAACTATAATTTTTGAAACGATAGTGTGTAAAATCAAAAATTTTTAATATATAAATTATTCATATTATATGATTAACAAATTCATGAGATAAATATAATTCAGACCTCGATTACTTTTTTTTTTTTTTACTAATTAGTGCATTTTTCCTAAACTTGTGTTAAAAGAGAACAAAAAAAATTTCAAAGTTAACGTTAGACATAAAATGCAGATTAATTTTGCGTAAAATCATAACTTTTTTTTATCACACTCATAGACATGCTTATTCAATTCAAACAATTAACCAGAACATTATTAAAACCATCTTACACTTTTTACCTCTAATTATACATACATATATATATATATATATATATATATAATATATAATATAATAATAATAATAATAATCTAGATATTATATAGTAATGTATTATTAATGTAATAATTTTTGTAATCTAGATTACAAAAACTGATTAAATAATAAGTCAATAGGTCTTAAGATAGTAGATAATATTCAAGTTGTTCAGGTACTTTGCCTTTCAATTTTATTAGGTTAACATATAAGTACACTTTTGAAAAATCTCTTGATATACTATATTCTTAGTACAATTGTTTAAATTTAAGCTAGCTGGTCCAAAAAAAATCTGCAACTTAAGATATGTAGTTACACGTGAACATGCAACGTACAACTGTCCATATGAGAATACTGGCTTAGGAAGATAAACTCCAAGCCTATTTATTGTCTGTCCTTGGGATTTGTGAATGGACATAGCAAAGGCAAGTTGACATGGGAACTAATGCTGTTTAAAAGCAAATAGTAAAGATGAATTTGTTGGTGATAATTCGACACATGGTAAAAACACTTTTTTTCCTTTAAATGAACCACTAACATGTTTTGCTTCAATAACATTACTTTGTAGTGTCCTGCAGATAAGCTGTGTGCCATTACAGAAACCTTCATTTCTATCAATATTACAAAGTAATATAATAGGAGATCCTACTTTTAACGTTAATGCATAAGGTGGTAATCCACTAAGCATTAATGAGTTGAGGTATTTAGTTGAGTACATATCTTCATGAGCTGGATTATATATAGCTAAGGTTTGATCTAGAACATTTGCGCTATAATAAGTTTTTGCTTCTCCAGGAAATTGCAAAAGAATTTCAGTATTGAGCATATTGACTTCAGAATTACATGGTACTAAAATACTTCTTTCTACTATATATGTTGGGTCATGTGTATATATTTGTAAGACAGGATATATAAAATCGATCAGTTTCTGATATGATTCATTATGTATTATAATATTTGAAGAGAGATTTATATAACTACTATTTGGGACAACTTCAGCAATTCAGCCTTCACCAATCATCATTAGCCAATTTGCAAACTCTCCTTGCATAGTAGCATTTGAAGCATCTAAAGATAATGCTGTATGTAAGCACATATTGATGGCTAACTTCCTTACTTTAACATGCTTCCATAAATGTGAACAACAAAAACAGGCATTAATAATATCTTCATGTTCACCTTTTGGGATTACTGGAAAAATCTGCTGAAAATCATCACCAAAAACAAACACTTTACTACCAAATGGTAAGTTTCCAAAGTGCTGATCAATAGGACTCATAATATCTCTTAAGGTGCGGTCAACAGCTTCAAATGCATGGCGATGCATCATAGAAGCCTCATCCCAAATAAAAAGTATTGCCTGTCTTAAGAGCTCAGCATGATCAGTATTTATAGATATATTGCATGTTGAATCTTCATGTAACTCAATAGGAATTTTAAACTGCAAATGTGCTGTATAACCTCTATCTAGTAGTAAGGTAGCAATTCCAGAGGAAGCAACTGCTAAAGCAATATTTCTGGTTGAACACACTTTAGCTAAAAGATTGTTATAGAGAAAAGTTTTGCCAGTTCCTGCAGGTCTGTCTATAAAAAAACATGCTGGATTATTATGTTCTATTGCTTGCATTATTTCATTAAAGATAACCAGCTGGTCCTTATTTAAATGATTGGTATTCAGTTCAACGAACTCAGTAAGGGTTTGTATATTATAATTCAACTCTTCATTAATTAACTCATTCCTAAATTCATGCACAGAATCTGGCAAAGGCATATTTGGAAAGTCTTTCAATGTTTTATTTTGTTGTAAAAGAATAATTTCTAGTTTATTTAATGCATCATTTTCAATCTCATGTTCAGTTAATTGTAAATTATGATTCTGTGAGTGATATATTACATCTTCAGTAAAGCTGCAATGTGTTTTGCCCACAGATACTCTGGTTCATTAGGTTGGCAGTTGATTAAAATAATTGCAAATAAATGACGAAGTTGATGCCCTGATCGTATTTTTGCAGCTTCCTCTAAACAACGATCCCATTCAAGGTCATCTTGTAATAGACCTAAAGCACAGCAAGCATTTTTAAAAGTTGTATGAACAAACCTATCTACTGTTCTCAGATGCTAAAAAGATTTTGCTCCACATACAGTATATAACAATAGTCACAAGTAAAAATGCTCACCAGCTCTGGGATGTACAAAAAACATACGATCGATCGTATTGCCTCAAACACGTGGTTTCCATTTTTTAGTATTTTTATTAAAAACAAATGCCTGAGGAAATTGAGCATATGTGTATTTACTTACTAATGGAGCTAGCATTGGATCTCTGTTAGCTTCAAACCATGCTGTTAATGTAGTTTTTTTATTTTGCACATGTTGTACAATAGCTTTAAGTGAGTCATTATCAGAAAAAGTAATCATGTGCTGTCCAGGTAGATGAACTACTAAGTGCATAATGTCAGGAGCTTCATTATGCATTTTGTAGTGTATTATTCGCCAAAATGACTCAGACACTGATACATAATAGGCATCAATATACTGCCAAATTTCATCAATTACTTCCACAGTAGATGTATCTATATTGCTATTACTACTAATTGCTACAATAGCCCTATTATGCCCTTTATACACATACTTAAAAAGATATTTGACTGCATGAATTGAAGAGCAAATTTCTACATTTATATGGCATTGATACTTTTTGTATAGATAAAGATTATGTAGCACAACCCAGCGGTTATCAAGTATAGCACCTCTTACTTGTACTGTATGTTCATCATAACGGTGATAATAAATTGGATAATCATCGTCATTCTGACAAGTTATTGGTTGAAACTTTTTAGGATACATTTTTGAACATTTTCTATCTCACATACATGGAGCATTCATGTTACTTGATCCACATGGTCCATGCATCATACACTTGATAACGGTATCATATTCTTCAGGATACTTATTAGGATCTGGAATTTTAGCTGAAATAATGTGATCATATTCTTCAGTAATACAGGGCTTATCATTTGGAGCTAAAATAAATAGCATATGAGCATGTAAGAGACCATGCATCTGAGCTTCAATGACATAGATATATCTAAGTATATATCCAAAAATTCCTTTTTTCAGAATATCTTTAAGTAGTGCTAATAACTTTAACTGAAATACCCATGCACAAAGATCTGAGCGATCTTAAGCAGTTTGACCTGATAGTAATTCTGCTTAAATTTCTGGCCATTTTGGGTTGCAGGTTATCATAATAAAAAAATCAGATTTGCCTAACTGTCCAACAATCATTATGGCATCTTGGTACAATTGCTTTATATGTCGTGGACCTCCAATAAAGCTCGATAAGAGTATAATTTGATGACCAATCGGGAGATTACTTGGTAGTTCATTAGTTGTTGTTAATGTGTCTTGAAGTCCACTGTACAACTCAGCACAAATCGTTTTCTGATTGTGTCTCAAGTAATTTAATCGACTTTGTTTTATATATGCATAAGCATCAACGATATACTGTTGAAAAAGATGTCTAGCTCTATGTAGTACAAATATTTTCGAAGGTTCATGAATTTGCAACTGTAAATGATACACATAGCATTGCATCATCGAAACATGACCTCTTATTGTATTATCATTTGTACATTCATCTTCACTTGTGCTTTCTGTTTTATTGATAGTTATAGGTAAAGATAGATAACAATTGAAATATTTGATTACTTATTACTATTAACACAAAAATTTCTTTACATAATGGTGAATAATAATAAGCAAAAAAAAACAGCTCATTTAGATGTATTTGTGAATAATAAGAAGTATTAATCAATGTGTAGTAAGTAATAATTAGCAGTAGTATATAAGAATAAGTGAAGAAAAATAAGTAGTTATTATTTATTGCTTAGTTATTACCTCGTCCATCTCTAGATAAAGGTAGTAGTTGTTCTTGGCCTTTTAGAAAAATACCAGGATGCCATCCAGAATTACCATGTAGAAACAACAAAACATAATGTAATGGGCTATAACTTTGATAAATTTCAGAAATACGCTGAAAACCACTGCCTTGCTTTTGCAATACGATATCTCGATTAGATGGTTCAATGTCTTGACCATCTCCTACTATAAGAACTGCAACTTCTGAGCCAGTAGGAGTTGTATATTGAAGTTCTGGTCATGTTTTGGTTATAACGATCTTCAAATTTTGTGTAGAATTATCTTTTATTATATGAGCCATATTTTAAAAGATGTGAACATATGGATTAACATCATGCAACATTGCTTGAAGCTGTGCAAGGGTGATCAGATTAAGGTTTGGCATTAATTGTTATCTTTGTTGTAGTTGTTCATTTGTATCATGCAAATAAATCTGGCAGAATGATAGTGTATCTTGATTCTCAGGCATAAGAGAACCTATGCGATAATACAATTTTTCTTGAATACGAAAATTATATACATCTTGTGTTCCAGCAACACATTCATCATTTTGGCACCTATTGATATGAATGCAAGTATCGAGTTGTACATACGAATTTTTTTTCTAAAATCACATGCTTGAGCACTTTCTTCAGTCAAAAGCTTATGCAATAATATAGGTGGTGTAGAAATAACAGGAAGTTGAACTTTGCCTTTTGCACAACAGGTGCTAAAAATTGAAGATTGTTTGGTTCCAACCACTTTTTCTTTGACTCAATGTAGTGCTTTGCATTCTGGGCATTCGATGTTCATGCTATCACAATTATGTGAACTTACAGCATTTGTATCATAGTTCTTAATACGTGCTGCATTAGTGATTTGCTGTTTGGCTTCATTTTGTTTTTTTCTGCATAATTCAACTTGCTCAGTATTTTCATTTGCATGATGGCGAGCATATGCTTGTCTTTGGGCACTTCAACACTGTTCAGCTTCTTCAAAAGTTTCATTTTCTAGACAGTGAGCATGGAATTCTCTTGCTAAACAGTTTTTGCATTCATAAAAGCTTTCAGAAGATCCAGCAGAAATTTCATTAGTTTGTGTCATACATCTTGCATACCACTCTCGTTCAAGCTGGTTTTTGTGTTCACGAAAGATTTTAGGTTTAGACTTTGTGCTCAAATCTATTTAAAAATAAAGGTAAGGACAAACACAAAGAGAATTACATGTTGCACATTAATTTGAAAAGTATTTATAATGCACATTATAAGCGGAGTCAAAATACTTGCATATTTTTTTCTCACAAAAAAACCTTAAAAAGAATGTTAACTCTGTAAATATGTGCTTATTTGATAGGCATGAAAGTTTTGGTTGAGAATATTAACATTAGTGACAGATGGTCACTTATATATATTATATAAAACAAACTGTTTCTGTAAGTTTAATTAATGCATTAAAAACTATTTTACATTGCTTTTTTTTGAATATTTTCACTTCTTTTTTTTTGTGTATTCAGGTTCCATATCAAAAATATTAAATTTTCCTTTTAAAGAATAGCATAATTTGGAACTGCAAGTGTAATAAGGAGTTATGAAGTGGTTATAGGTGGATTATGCATGTAGTTATATACAATTCAAAATATATTATATGTTGCTATATCACATAACATATAAATAAATAAAAAATTATGCAATTTTATATAATATAGAAAGAAGAGTTCATGCTTCTTGATTATATGTTTATTAGAGTTTTTTTTTAAGCACTATATCTTAATAAGCAACAAATTAGCATTTGTATAAATTAAGGTCTATTTTATTAATATATGGACCTTTGCAACTTAGAAAAACATGATTAAAAAGCTTATGTAATGCGAATATGTTATAAGTTATTATCAGATTAAACATCTATAGTGGTTGAAAGCATTATAGCAATCGTATTATCCAGTCTTTATTATATAGATATGTAGTAGAGATTGAACTGATAAGTTTCAAGCATTGTTTGGTCACAAGCTCAAGAATCTTGAATATCGATTGAGCAAAAATATCGAATGTTCAAAGATTTTTAAACATCAAAAACATATCAGTATATGAAAAATTTAGTGCAATATTAAATTTGTCAATTGTTTTATTTTGCATTGAAAAATTTTATTAATTGTACGTAATATACTAAATATATATCAAATTATATAAGTATTCAATGTTAATATGCAATTTGCATGAACAAAGAATGCAGTATCTTTATTCAATAAATAATCAAAATTCCATGTTATTAATTACAGTAATTTCAAATTGAAAAATTTGAAAGATTTATCAAATAAATAATTATGAAGTTTGTTATTTATAATAAATCAGAAATTTGGCATTTTACATTATCAAAAAAAATAGTTAAATTTTTTTAACTTTTGATGCTCGATGATAACAGAACTAAGAACTTAGTAAATGAAAGCTTATTTTGATGCTCGAAAACTTTGACTGATGACCGAATAATTATTCATCAGTTCCACTCTCTAATATGTGATACTTATTACTTTAATTTCTTAATGTTAAATAGCTCAACTAACATTGATATTTTGTGCTTAAATAATTTTTTAAATAGCAAGCTCCAGGAGAAATTTTCTTATGAATTGATTGTGTGAGAACTTTAGGATTGGTATGAGTAGATAAAACAAACTGTTGCACATATTTTATACATTATACGAACAGGCTAAGTACATAGCATATAATTCAAGATATTCTGCTGTTAATATATATTCTGTAACAATAAATTTAGCATTTAGCGTTTGTGTAATGACAGACATGTTGAAGATCAAAATTTTTAATATATAGATAAATATAAAATATATATTAAGAAGTTTATTTTATATATATAAATATAAATAAAATTTTTTAATTTTAAAAAAAATTTATAATTACTAACTTTTTTATATATAAATAATATTAATTTTATTATATAAAATTACTAATTTTTCATATAATAAACTAATTTAAATAGGTAATTTTCTTTTTATTATTTTTTTTTTACATAATAATCATAGTTGAAATTTTGCAGGTTTATGCATAAAAGTTACACCAAGGTACTTGCATAGTAACACAAAAAATACTCAATTATAATTGGTTAATTTAGAAATATATCAAAAAATTTTAATTTTTTAAATTTTTTTTTAACAAATTGACCAACTTTGAGATTTTTTTAAACAATATGTAATCAAAAATTAATTTAATTTTTTTTTATAAATATATTCTATATATCTTTAAATATTAAATATATTTATTTAATTGCAAGTTAATATGTAAAATTTTGTGTAATTACATTTTAAATCAAATGTATCAAGTTGGTGTATCATGCTTAATAAGATGACTAATATTATTAATTTAATAATATTTTTTTATAAAAAAGTGAACAAGAAAAGAAATAAAAAAACTAAATATTAAAATATAAAGAAGAATAATAATAATAATAAATAAAAAATAAAAAATATATATATTTATAGATAAAAAAATTTCAAAAAATAGTAAACATATATATTATTTTAGTAAAATAATTATATTTATTTTAGACAATTATAATTATAAAATCTGTATTGAGGTTTTAAAAATTATACATTATATTAAATATAAAAGTCTCTATTATTAATACTATTGATTAGTTTATATTACAAAAATTATGTAAAAAAATTTAACTAAAGAATTATAGAGTTATTAAAATTAGAATATTAGTAGTTTTGAAATAATATTTAAATAGTTTTTTAGTCTTTTAAGACGTATATATAGTTATGTTTATTTATTAACTATAATTATTATAATAACTAAAAATTGATTAACAATACATTATATTTAAAATAGATTAATTGCATAACTATTTGTTTAATAATAACAAATTCTATTTCTATTATAAACAAAAAACTCTTTTTACAAATTCATTACATAAAAATTGACTAAAAAATAATTCATCTAAAAACACTTATAACAATTTATTTTACTAATATAATCTGTCTTAGATTCTTAAGTAAACTTGTTTAGTCTATTATTTTACATATATTTTGTAAATATTAAGTTTCTAAATTTTAACTTATTAAGAAAACTGTACTAATGATCTTTGGCTTCCAGTTTTAATAATTTAATTTTTTTACATCTCTTACTACTATAATTTGTTTTATACTTTTAAGTAAAGTTGTAATATATACTTATTTGTTAAAACAAGTTCCAAATAAGAGCTTTGACCTAATATTAGCTAAACTACAATCATATTTATCTTTATTTTTTTATAAAACTCTTTTTTACTTTTTGTTTTTATTACAACTCTTTTTTTTTATCTATTTTTTATATAATTATTTGATCACTTTTCAATCTATACTTTATTAATTTACTCAAAAATTTTACAATTTATTCATTATTAAAAATTTATAAAACATAATCTATTTATTTTTATATTTAGTTTTTATTAATATTATACAATAATTTATATTGTATACTTTATTTCTATTTATTATTTAAGTCACATTAGTAACCTTAATCATTTTAGTTATATTTCAGTATTACTTTATATTATATTAGTCATATTTTACTACTATTTTTTTTATTCTTCTTGAATCTACTCTTAAAAATCTTATTTTTAAATTTATTCAAATTCTTTTTACTAAATTTAACTATTTTAAAATCTTTGTTTCTCTAGTTATTATTCTTTTATATACTGCTCATAATCATCTTCAACTTTGTCTTAATCTTATATAACTTTATTTTTTTTTATCTAATAATTATTAATCTATTAATTATCAAAAATTTACCAAGAACTTACAACTTAAACTCAAAAAATTCAAATTTGAATCTTTTATTCAAACTACAAATCTTGAACAAAAATATCTTATTATTTAATTAGATTCTAGATTTAATATTAAACTTTTCTTTAACATTTCTAAAATATTCTTTTTTAAAAAATTTTGTATTTTCTTATTTAAAAATTTTCTTAATCATTTTAATTCTTATTTTTAAACTTACTATCTTTTTTACAATTAATAATTCTTTTATACTATTAATAAAGAAAAAATAAAAACTTTTCTTAAAATTCAATTTTGTTAGCACTTTATTCTTTAATATTTAAAACACTTTCTGGAACTTATATATTTTAAAAATAATTTATTTTATAAACAATACAAATAAATATATTAAATTGCTAATTTTTATTGTCTTATCTTTTTTTATAGATAAGTAATTGCAATTCAGGATTTTATTAATAATACATTTAACTAATAGTTAAATTATAACTACAGAAGCAACTATAAAAAAAGTATACAACTAGCCATCTGTACAACTTTAGTTATTGTCTAATTTAAATAATCTGTCTAAAAGTTCTACACTAGCAGCTATATCTAAAACCTGCTTGTAAATTCTTTATTTAAATATTTTAGTTCCTGTATTCATCCATTTACCTATACCTATCAATGACTTTAATCAATATTAATGAAAATATGCCATGATTACTAAGTTTTTAAAGCAGTTTATTCATATAAAGAACCTTTGATACTGTACTAAACTTTCTGTATTTCATACTTATAGCTAACCTGATAATACTATAGTCAAAACTAACACTTATAATCAGAGTATATTATTAAACTATTATACCTTTATAGAGTTTACTCCAACCTCAGTACTTACTTTACAATATATTTCTATTACTTTGGTATTTAATTTAAGTTTTATTAGGCTTCTAATTCAGATAGTCTAAAAAGATAAATATAACCATACTTCTAATTTATATATTCTTCTAATATGTAATCTTTTTTATCAGAATGAATTTTAATGGTCTGGCTGGTTACAATAGCCTTTTTCTAAAGACCAACTTGTCTTTATTTAGCTTAACAAGTTCTAGTTCTATTTTATAGATCTAGTCTTTATAGTAACACTATCCAAAGTTCAGATTATCTCTCTACTTAAATCTTCCAAATATGCTTTCATGTTCCTAGTTTCTATGATTTACACAGCTATGAGAACTTATTATGGGTTTACACTACCTAGTACTGGTTTGTGTTCCTTTGTACAAGATATAATTATTATACAAAATTTATATAACTTTTTAGTCATATTGGTATAACATAAGTAGCAAATATCTAATCTCAACTAATAACAGAAAACAGTTAACTGTAATACAGAAGAAAATTTAAATTTTTATTAATATTAGAATTTGTACTCTAGACTTACTACTTAGAGGTTAACAATTTAACTATTTTACTAAGTTACTACACTCTTTTACTGTCTTATCTTTTTTTTTTTAATATTAAAGTAAATAATTGTAATTTGGAAGTTTATTGATAATATATTAGCATATAACTATTGTGTATAACAGCTACAAAAGCAATCATAAAAAAAGTATACAACTAGCCACTCATGCAACTTTAGTTATTATCTATTTTAAGTAGTCTACTCGAAGGTTCTACACTAGTTGCCATATCTAGAACCTGTTTGTGAATTCTTTATTTAAACATTCTAGTTTCTATATCCATCCTTATTCTATTAACTGCAGTATTAATCTGCAAATATATCATGATTATTAAGTCATGTTTAACTTTATACTAAGCCTACTAGAGCCTTCTGTATCCTATACTAATAGCTAACTTAGTACTACTCTGGCTTAGACTATCACTTGCAGTTAAAACTAACCATTAAACTGCTATACTCTTGTAAAGTTTACTAGAACTCTAATACCTCTCTTATTTGTTATTCATCTTTATGCTTCAAATTTATAAGACTTTTCAAACTACTAATTCAGATGGCCTGATATAGTATTCAAAGATTCTTTTTCCTTCAGTAGTTCTGGTGACCTGGTTAGTATATATGCTTCCCTTATATACTTTGTTATTCATTTCATCCTAGTTATTCTTTTCTGAGTCTTTTATTGGTCCAGTAGTATCATTAAAAGTTCATATTACCTCTTTACACAGAATTTTCAAGTGGGTTTCTGTGCTTTAGTTTCTTAATATTATGTATCTAGTAGTCTTATCATAAGTTTGTACTGAAGTCTTATGCAACACTGGTTATTTAACATTTCTTTATACGTATATATGTAATATTATGCTTTGCATAAATGCCCTAAGCTTTTATTCAAAATAGTGCTTCTAAGATTACAGATTTTCTTTTTCATCTAACTGATTGATGAGACACAGTATAATTATTCAAATTTTTACTGTTTATAAAATTTGAACACTAGACCTGTTACTTGGAATTAACAACCTGTCCACTTCACTAGGTCACTATACTTCTTTACTGTCTTATCTATAACAATAAATAATGTTAATATCTTAATAAAAAAATTACATAACAGTACTAAACTTTTTAATAATATTTTAAACAAATCTTATTTATTATTCTTCTTTAAAAATAATGTAGTATAAATATACTCAATACTCAATACTATATTTTTTTATAAAAATAAAGAACATACTATCTTACTTAATTGGCTTATTTTTACTAAAGCTTTGAACAAATTAGCTAACCAAGTTGAAAACTTTGTAAATAAAACAAAGTTAAAACTAATTCTAAATGCTACAACTACTATTTTTATTATTATTATTTTCTTTATTACTAAACTGCTACAAAAAACTACAACATGCAGTCTTTTTCTAAAAAAAAAAACCATCAATTTACTAACAAAAAACATTATTAATACTAAATTTCTTGCTTGAATTATTACCTATTTTGATATTATTAGAAATTAAAAACCTATCTATTTATAAATTATTAAATACTTTAATAATACTGCCTATCTAGCAGCTAAAAGATTTTTAATAAAAAAATTTAATTTTGA